CCAGGAAAAAGCTGTGTTTAGTTCTAAAGCTTGTCACATAAAAGGAATTTTAATCTCTTTGGGATTTCTTTTTTTTTTTTGGTCTTCTTTCTTTTTTTGACCCCCCAAAGGCTATTTTTCTAACATTTCAGGACTACAAAACGTAGTACCTTGATAGTTGTGTGTGAAAATTTATAATGGGCATGTTGTGGGGTTGATCAGAATCCCATTGGAGGGAACATAGAGCCTGGCTTAGACCTTCAATACAGAATTACAGTAATTTAAGCTTCAAAGTCAAAATTCAGATAAAGCAAATAAAAATTACTACTGTGCCTTTTGAATTTCAGCCTCTATGTATTAGTGGAAGGAAAATTGCATTTGAAGTGGTCATCATGCAGATATTGGACATGTGTTTTGCTTTTCTTGTAGTATCAGAGTCCTCTCTGTCTGATCCATGATGCAGTAAACAAATGCTCACTTTTCAGTCATGACCCATAATCTCCAGCCTGAGCATATCCTTCAATACTTACATGTCCCCAGGGAATCTGCACTTGTGCTTGGCACCGTTGAACATAGCTTTGACAGTGTCCAGGTGCCCATTACAGAACCACATTGCAGTAAACATCTCTGAATGCCAGTCTCAAAGGGCTCCAGTTATTATGGTCTAAAAGGTCAATGGAAGAGCAGAAGAGATTTACAGAAATGTGTGCAAACTAGGCTGCTGAGGGCTGAGAGCTGGTACGTGCATTTAAGCACCTTTGCACTGCTGGTGTTCAGGAACTTGTTAACCACGTTTGGGCACAAGTCTGAGTTTTTCCAAACAGCTTACAATCTTAATAGACCAACAAGCTGTTAATTTGAGTTTATGGAGCAGTCTCATGGTCTTGATGCATTGAACAACCTGCCCAAGGTTGTGCAGGGAGTGGTCTGCTGTGTCCAATATATAAGGACATGTGATTTTGTTGAAAACTTATATCATCTTTAGGCTTTAGCTCAGTTTGAAGGTAATGGGTCTGATCCAGTCGTGCTTTGCTGCTCCTTTATGGTTATGCACTTCCACTAAATACCTGGAGTTTTAGGCTACTATCTACTGGTAGTCTCTGAAAAATACTGACATTCCTAGTTGTTTAATGAATCTTTAATGGAGCTTTTAGTGTGTGTGAGGGCATGCATATTGATTTGTGTATGCATATTTAGGCATTAGGAAGAAAAGTAAAGCTGTTGAGAGGCTTCTGCAAGGTGTAGAGAGAGAAATGTATTGTCACAGATTATAATAAGGTGTAAAGGTTTTTCACTCCTTAAAATGGAGAAGTTGACATATTAAAGTGCATGTACTCTAATGATGTGGACTGACTCAGAGAATTTGAAGGAAATAACAGCTGTGCACATCAATGCTTAAAAATAGAAACTTCATCAGTGAGTAGCAGTTTAGAATGAATGAGGAAATCATGAAATTATTAATTACCGCGGCTAGAGAAAGGAAATGTCAAGTTCAAACTTTCTGAAGGCAGAATGCTGTCTTCAGTCATGCAGCACGTCTGCTGGGTATCAGCCCCTTGTCCTGCTGAGCCACTCTGTAGAAGTGGGGGCTGTGGTCCAAACACAGGCACCTACTGCCATTTCAGGTACCCCAAGATGATTCAGGCTTTCCACCTAACAGTTATGACATTGGGCATATGGGAGACTCCTGCCCTTCTGGAGTGGCAGCTGGATGCCCTGAAGCATCTCAGATGGCAGTAGATGTGTCTGTCTAAGGAGTAATTGCACACAGATATAAGTACAGACTCACTTTCACTTGCATCTTTAATACATAGTCACCTGAAGCACATCAGTAGTTCATAGCAGTGTTTGCAGTGGGTAATTGCAGAAAGCAGTGAACAGTTTATCTAATTTTAAACTTAGGAAGAATTTTGAGGTGAATAGAGCAGTTGTACAGCTTAAAATCTGACCAGGATATAAAGTTAAAAACTATCCTAGTGTCAAAAATTGGAATTAAAAAGTATGATTTAAAGTTGCAGTGGGTGGTTGTTTTCTTAATGACCTCAAATCCATGAATTCATCCTAACATTTGCCTTTTAATATATTCATAGTTAAATATAACTTGAATGTTGTCCTAATTACATTCTCATGTTAATTTAGCTCTGATTCAGAATTTCTATCATTATTCTTTGTAGAATTATTTTGAAATGATGGAAAGTTCAGTAAAGATGCTCCAGTGTCTGATTGTGCCTTTGAATTATTTATCACATTCAAAGACAGAAATATAGTTAAAATCTAGTTTGAGTTGTAAATGAGTTTTGGTAATGGAAGGAGGAAGTGTAAATCGTTTTTGCAGAACGACATGTTTTATGGGTGCATCATTAGGTACTGTGGGAGTGTTTTGTGGCCCCACATGAGCACAGAGTCTCACAGTTAATAAGGAAACATCCACTGCACTGAGTGGTAAATGCTATCTAAGCAGATGAGACAGATAAAGTGTGGAAGAGGAGAGAGACAGAAACAGAAAAAACTTACTGAAATGACAGTGCAGATTAGTGACAAAAGTAGGAAGAGAAAACAGATGTCCTGCCTTGGTCACAACCAGCCTTCTCTCCCTCTGCCATGTGACATGGAAACAAAAGCTCTCACAAGCAGTGTTTAGCTCAGGTTTTTCACAGCCCATCACAGGAGCAGGTAGTACAGTGCTAATATCAGGTTGTAGAAACCATGATTAATGCAAAAAATGTGGCTGTGGCCCTGAGCTAGGTAGAGAACAAACAGTTGCTGGTGAGGTGTGCGAGTCTGAGAGGGCGAGAAACTGCTGGGGAAAATTCTAAAGGAGAAAAGGAAACTTGTCTTAATGTAAGCAGCAGTTTTCCTAGAGGTAAGTGAGGGGAAATTCTTCATTTATAAATGGTTCATTGAGCCATGATAATAAAGCAGTGCTGCAGAAGGAGGATAATTATCTACTTAAGTATCAGATGCCCTGAGGGTACAAGCTTCCCTTCTCTCCTTTTGAAAAATGAACTCAGATTAAACGAATGTCCTTTTTCCTGTTTTAGTGTTGACATGGATTTCCTTTTTATGAGTAAAATTAATTAGTTTTTCTATTCCTTTATTCCTGGTATGGAAATCAGGTCTGCCAAGCAACTTTCCAGCTCTTCCCTTGGGCCCTGAGTTCAGCCAATAGCATCTTTTATGGAGGTGCTTTGCACAGCGGGCTGGGAAGGCACAAATGAATTACAAGGGGTTTACTATGCCCAGTAGCTTATCAAGAGGCACAGCATTTCAGAACTAAAACCCCACAAAACTAGGCTTTTTGTCCCCACCCACAATTGTTTTGTTTCCAGGTGCCTGCTTTCTAAATGTGTATTTCTCCTTACTTAAATGTTAATACCATAACTTGTAACAAGAGAAAAGGACAATAGTGGTGGCGCAGCTGATGCTGTAATAAAAAAAAAATGAGAGACAGATTTTCAAAGCAGATTAACACCTACAGCTGGGACTAGTCTTCTCCTGTTCTGTTGGGAGCTGCTGGTAGTGGAGCTTTTTTGAAAATTCTGCTCCCAGAATTTAGCAAATACCCATTACAGACTTGTCTGTCATCATCTGAACTCTGAAAACCGATCAAAACCTGCCACTACTTCTTTACTTCAAGAAAATGTCTAATTTTCTTTCCTATCAGAATTATAAGTCTGATTCCTACAATAAACTTGGTCAATGTAAACATGTTGTCTCTGTGCTTATGGAAATAATTAATCTTTCACATGTATTAATCTTTCCTTGTTTCAAATGTCTCATGTGGTTCTTGAAAAAGGTTGATGTAACCTTTCTGTGAACCTGTTAACTACAGAGCAGCTCCTAGTTACCTTTCCTCGATTATAGAGAATGTTCCTGAATACCTGCAGGCTTCAAGATGCAGTAAAACTAAAGATGACTGTAATACAATGGCATGGAACTTAATTTTCTTCAAATAGTCCTTTGAACACTTTTTTTAATGCTGAAAAAAAATAATTTTCATAGCTTTTGGTCATGAAAGTTCAAATGGTGTTAAAGGTTATTTTAAGGTCTTTATTCTGCAAATACTGTTCTGTAAGTCAGCAAAGAAATCTTGTCTGCAGGGAATTGAAATGAGAATCGAGTCCCTAGTACTTGCTTGTTGGATTTACACAACTGAGGCTCTGCTAAGAATTCTGGACCATATTAGTAATGTTATAAAATTGACTTTCAAGTGAAGAATCATAGCAATTATTAATTACTGGGAACACAGCAGATCAGATGACTGTGAACAGTGTCTGTGTACTTCCATTATTTACTTTATAGCTTCATTTCACTGACTCACAAAGCACAGCCACCAAGGTGGAATTAAATCTAAGTATATTTACAGGGTTGTGAACACTGTGCTTAAAAGAAAATAGTCGTAATTATCTTAATGTATTTTTAAAAACACGTAATATTTATAACAGGTGAACATTGCTTGTGAATGGTAATTAATATGGTGTAGAAGCAAGTGATCTGCTATGATCAGCACTGTCAGCTTTTCACATTTAGGTACCTAAAATTAGAGGTGTAAGATAAAGTTTTTAAAAAACACATATCACATATGTGGAAAAACATTGTAAAACTGATGTGTCAGATCACACCCCCAAAGCTGTCTTAAATTCCTTTGGCCTTCCCCCATTTTTCATCACAAAAGAAATTGTCTCTGACTTTCAGAGGTGTTAAATACAAGTATTTCTCTATCAAGATGGTAAATTTGAATCTGTGAAAACTTTCTTTTAGATGTTTCAGGAGTAGCAGATGGACCTTAGTTTACTCATTTTGTCCATATCTGAGGGTTTTGAGGCAACAAGTTCTGAACAAAGCATCGTATGATTCTCTGTATTTAGCCTTATGCCTTCGATGCTCTTGCTGTGTCATCAGAGAGGAAGAGTTTAGACAACGCAGAAATGATCAGAACCAGGTTACAGGCTTGGGGTTGAGACACACCTCCTTCTGGACCATTCAGACTCGTGTTTGTGCCTTGACACTACCACCTTCAGATGTCCTTGTCTGTCCCCTGCGGCCGGTGGAGCGTTTCCGTGACCTGTGTCCCGAGGAAGTGGCTGATTTATTTCATACAGCACAAAGGGTTGCCAATGTGGTGGAGAAACACTTCTGTGGCACCTCGCTCACCATTTCCATTCAGGTATGTAAACCACTCAAGTAAAAAAAGGTTTAATGGTTTGTTTTATCAAGCTTTCAACCTTCTTTCCTAGTCCAATGACAAAAGGATGTTGAAACTTCAAGGGGCAATAAATGCAAAATTACAGTAATAATAAAAAGAAGCCCAAGTAACTGCCTTGCAGTCTTCCAGATCTGCCACTGAAAACAACCTGAAAGGTAAACTAGCAGGAAAGTGTAATTAATTAATAATTGCAAGACTTTGGAATCAGCCTGAAAACACTCCCAAATGCAGTGCTTGTTTGTGAGTATTTCAGAAAATCCTCTTCCTTCAAAGCAGCGTAAGTTTGACGTAGCAGTTACATCTCCTCATTCTGCAGGTAACCCACTGCTTATCGTGGAAATAGGTGATTCCTCCTCACAGCTATTTATACACAGGCCCTGTAAAGATGTTAGAAATTCTGACCTTTCAGTTATTTGTGCTGGGTGTTTTTATACCGAAAAAGAGCTCTGTTTAAAGCAAATTGGGAGACTAAGCCCTTTCATTAGGACCAGAATTTAAGCAAGCATACTTTGATTAAATTCTCACTTCCATGTGTGATTTCATGTTCACAAAGATCAGAAACCTATTGCTAACTATTAAAAAATATGATTTGAAAGAATGAAAAATAGCAACTGTTGGTTTTGTGGTCTAAGACAGAGTTTTTCACTTTGCTATGGCCTGGTATGGAAAGGAGCTTTGCCCAAAACCTTTAGGTTGAATGGGCCTCAGGAAAAATATGCTACATTAACATACAGTGTAATTGGATGCAAATGATTATTGAGTAAGATTCTGAATTCCTCTGTGATCCTTGTTAGCTCTTCTAACCTGAGGCTTCTCCCTTTGCTTACAGGATGGCCCCGAAGCTGGACAAACGGTGAAGGTGAGTGCTTATTATGCAGAATACAAATTAAGAGACAATTATAAGAACTAATAAAAGATCAAAGGTAGTTGTCTGCAGACCGTTGTTGTACTGCTGTTTTATCCTTGAGATCAAAAAATCCCAAGTGTGCAATAGCAGTAAACACTTTTCACTGAAATTGCCCAAGATAATGTTTACAGGTTTTCTTCCTAAACAAAAATTTTCAATCAAGAAAATATCTTTTCTAAGCTGTTGGGTGTATTTATGCAAGGAAAGCCTCATGAAAGAGGCATCTGTTTCAGGGATTTTTTTTGTTTGTTTTATGGAGAAAATATTGCCCTTCCATTCATAATCTCTTTGTTTTTCTGTTTATTGCCTAATGAGTTGTAGCTAATTATAGGAACAGTTAAACTGAGCCACGCTATGAAAATATACCTTTTGTCTATGCTTTCTCTCAGCTTATTCATATCACATTCTTGTTATTGAAGTTCAAATGTAATGGAGCCAGTGAAGCTTAAAAGCAGATTTTAAGTGTAGTTCTGAAAAAAAGGCAGGGGGGGTGGAGAGGAAGAGAAGGATTTATGATTATACTCTCCACTTGAGTAATAACATAGATAACATCCAAGATGGCTCTCCAGCCATGTTTCACTGCCTCGTAATGCAAATGCAAATGCACGTGTGGTTAGATGATATGCCTGAACATTAGATAAAGGCTATTTTTTACGTTTGGAATCAAAGGAAAGTCAAATATGGCTATGGGTTAGCACTTTGTAAAATCAAATTACATGTCTCCGAGAAGCTGTTTGGGTTGATTAAGATAACATTAACAACCAAATGATGGTCTATAGGAATAATTTACTTTTTTTCCAATTTGCTCTAGTGACCTTATTTTTCCTACTCCTTTGTGTTGCCTGCTTTGAGTATTTAACAGAACAGTAGTAGGGAGAGAGAATAAGAAAGGAGAAAATCCCCAAGCTTTGGGCAGTGATGAAGGAATGTAATACAACTTACTTCAGTATTGTGACAGAACAGTTTCCTTGGCTCATGACTTGGAGTGCATTGGGTAGGATTCACTGGGAATTGATAGGTAAAATAATAAGTTTACTTTCAAATTAAATTTTGTCATTATCACCAACATGTTTTAAGCAGCAGATCACAGGATTTCCTCTAATGTCTTGGACAAATTTTTTTTTCTCTGTAAAGAAAATGTTTATAGGAATAATATATCACTATGTGAGGAAAACTTCTAATATGAATGAACAAATCCAGGTGTAAGAGTTCAGATCTTCTGTGGTTGTGAACAGTTACAGATGCTTATGCAGACTTTTAAAAGGTAAGAAGTTCTGTATCATTTTGTATTCATACTGGAAACAAAGAGCATCAAGTGTTCATCTATCCAGTACATTGCAAAATGGGAGCCACCCTTCATGCTTCCTTCTCACACTTTTAATAAGCACTGAGATGAAAATAACCTGCTCTTACAACTGTGAACCCCTAGACTTTGCAATAATGAGTGTGTATTCATAAATCAGAGGTTATCAGTTTGTATTTCACTACTTTTCTGCATCATTGGGCAACACTGTAATTTATCATCATCACTTTGGGATGTTTATCATCCAAAAATGCCAACAACTATTTTCTTCAGAGAACTTAGAGCTTTCGAAACTTCAATCGGGGAAGAAATTACTATGATCAAGATCTTCTTTTAAGTGAACAGTAGGGTGGATACATAAATAGCTGTTTCATTTAAAGTGCTTTGAATCAGGAAGTTTGAAAAAAATACCTATGTGGCCCACAAATAATTTATGAACCTTAAATTGAACGTGTCATGTGTTCATGTGGATTTGTTTGGGATTGCTTTTTTATGTATCAGAATGCACAATAATCCAGTCTTCCTCTAAGGGAGCTTTTAATTAAAATTTCTGGAACAGACTAAACATTAGAAAAACATTCTAATAGTAAAAATAGCAAAGCATCACAACAAATATCCAAGGGAGTTTGTGGAGACTGTTTCAGTAGGGTAGGCAAGCATATCTCAGGAGCTAATTAGGTGTAGCTGATTTTGCTTTGAATGGGGTCACATACCAGATGGCTTCAAGAGTGCTTTCCATTTGTATTTCATGTAGTTCTGTATACCTGTATAAATATAGGCTACTGAACGTGCTATGTAGGAACAGAATCACAGGAAGCAGGAGAGTACTGGCTGTTAAACTGCTCAGTGCAAAGCTTTGCTGCAAAATGGGAACAGCTCTCAGCCTAGCTGAGGACAATAAATGAGAAACCTCATCTGAAAAAGATAATTATTTATATGTCCACAAGAAGGAATGGTAACCCATGTCCAAGAAGAATCTTGAACTTGAGCATGAGTCTCAGGTCTCCATTTGCGGCAAAGAAGCTGAAAATTGTATGTGCAATGTATGCAACAGGTTGAAAGGAGATTACTCTTTCAGTGTGATTTTGGATAGAAGTCAATGGTTTTGTGGTCTAAGACAGAGCCAGTGTTACATGTTCCTTGTGCTGGTGTGAAAGCTGTTGGTGTGTGCAGCAGATGTACCATGTACTGCAGTGTTAGGATACATCACTGGTGTATTTTGTATTAAAACCTTCCTAGTTACCTAATGGGAAGCTCTTTATAATCTAATTGTAGTTTCGTTATTGCTGTGCTCTGTTCCTTGTGGATACTGTTCTCCTGTGAATCTAAGCTAGCAAAGCCTGCAGAACAATGTTCTAGGGAAGCTTATGGTCCTTTTGAATTCCCCCTTTATTGCAGTCTGTGTGTTTGCATTGGATAGGTCTGTGGAAGAAATCATACCTACACCTGACCCTCAGCCCAGTGATACTTTCTAAGTATAGATGGGTCTTTTCTTACCCTTTACCAGCTGGAAACATACACTTGCTAAAGAATTCTGAGCCATGTTGCATGTCTCAGACCATAAAATAATGCAATATATTGCTTCATAATATTGTTCATAGCTCTCCACATACTGTGCTTATTCCAGCCTTGTCACCTATTTATGAGAGAAACAAATGTCCCTCCCCACAGTGTTTTATTCTAAGAGGTTCTTGCACCAGTCACAACAGAGAAGCTGAGCATCTGTGGCACCTGAGCAGTGTGTCAGCAAGCAGAACTTTGAGAAAGGAAGAAAATTCTATTTAGGTCCTCTCTTAAAGCATGTTAATCTCCGCAATTTTGAGCTCTGTTTTCCTTGGAGAACACAAAACCTACAGTGTCCTTGTGCCAGGAATGGAGGGTGAATTTCATGCTAGTTCTGTTTGAGAATGCCTTAAATATCCAGGCAATTTCATGGATCAGGGAAATCAGCTCTGCATCTTAATGCAGGGCTCTTATTGCTATGTCAAGTGAGCGACGTTTCAAGATTTCCCTAGTATATTTTATAGCCTTCTTTTCAACATCAAGCCAGCAAATGCTCTAGCTGCCTTGGTGGATGTATAGCACAGTGTAGAATAAACTCTCAGGTTTACCTTTTATGTGAGATTCAATCACAAGAAACTCCATGTATTCTGTACTCCGTAAAGGCTAAACAAATCAAGCTGGCAGGAGCATGAGGCAACTAATCTATCTGTAGAGACAAGATAATATTACACAGTAAGTGTCCATTGCACAAACACATATGAACACCTACTCTATTTTGCAGCAGTGTTGAAGTCTCCAGCAGCTGAGCACCTCCTCTGTTATCCATAACTAAGTGCCTGTTTGCCAATTCAGGTTCACCTGAATAAATGAGAAAGCAAGGCTGATGGTGGCAGTGTGGGTATATGTGCAGAAACTTAGTTTATATGTCACACATTCCACTAATTATTTTACACTGAGAAGATTGTCTCACGATTATTTTTTTCATGTGCATGTTTTTCTTTCCCAGATGTTTTTTTTAATGCTATGTTAAATCAATCCACCTGGCTTGCATTCCTTAGAAATCTTAACCTGAACTGTGGAGCCTAAGCTTTATTTAAACCCACAGCAGACTGCTCTTTCATCCTCTTTGTCTATTTATGTCTCGACCCAAAGTACTGGACTTCAGGTTTGAGTCTTTAAATTTAATCAGATTGCATTGCAGACTGATTGCATCGGAAGGATTAAATTCACTAACTGCAATACTTTTGATGCTTCAGCCTGCTCTCCCTGCAGACCAGCAGACGTGAGTCCTTGTTTAATGGAGTATTGGAAATCCCCTGTTGCTCTCTTAAATGAACAAAAAAAGCTGGTGTTTGAGAAATGCAAAGATTTTTTTTCTTACCTCTAAACAAATCTAAAAATTCAAATAGAAGCAAACATGGAAGAAATAAGTATTTGAAAACCAGATTGAATTGAAACATGTGAGCAACTCATCTTGTTTGCTTTACTCCTAAGAATGATGATTCTTTCAAAAGCTTGTGGGATGTCCAAAAATGATTTGATGAAATGCAGCAGTGTCTTTGAATTGGTCTGAGAACCACACTAATAATATTTGGTTGGTGACTATGTAATATTGTGGATAGGTAATTGGTACAGCAAATTCAGTAGTCTCAGGGCTGCTATGTCTGTTTTGAGCTCATAATTTTCTTTCTATTTTGGTTCTATATTTAGTTTGGGGTAGTTCAGGGTTAATGATGTATATTTTCAAAGCTAGGATTATACTGCCCCTTACAGAGATGGAGAAGCAGCAGGGTCATCCAGATAGGTTTTTTTCCACCTTCCTTAAAGCCTTTTGCTAGCTCTTTGTTTCCTCCTCACTCTAAGTAATAATTCTTGCCCTTTCCTTCAGGGCTCTTTTCAAAATCTGCCTTGTGTTGGTCGAAGTCTCCATTCAGTCCCTTGGCTAGAACTGTGTTTTCTATGATGGAAAATAAGTCCAAATTTTCTCTTTGCTTTGTCAGGTCCTTACTTCTGTTCATTACATGTAACATTTAGTTTTTGATTGAACTGTAAGCTTTCCAGGAAAAACATCTTATTTCTATTTTGTTTGCCATGCACTGGTAAATCTGTAAGTCCTCCCCTAGTACAAATAATAATATACAGGACC